TGTGTGTGTGTGTGTGTGTGTGTGTGTGTGTGTGAGAGAGAGAGAGACACAGGCATTAAAGTGAGAGTAGTAGTTTTAACCTAGTTGGAGTCGCTGTGATGTCTGATATTACATGAAGTGATCGATTTACTGATGATTGGCTCTCATGGTTCTTTGTTTACAGCTTTAATTCTTTCCACGGTGACGGAAAAGTGTTGCTTTTACTGAAAAACGGAACTTAACCTGTGATTTAACTCTTCCTAAGCTTTAGGAGGAGCAACATGGGGTTCAGTACGTCTCTCAAGGACACTTAGTAACACTAGTTCTGTAACGCATCAACTAAAATTGATTTTAAGATTGTACAAAAGCAGTTGATGCTATGCTGTTGAATGTCAATCAATTAATTAGCAATCAATCAAGGTAACAATTCTAAAATGATTTAAAAAAAGGTGATGTCTGAGATTTTTCTGTTTTGTTTGAACATCGGCCCAGTATCCAATCCTTGACTTCAACTATTGATCAATTCATCCAAATTTTTATGTTTGCTATAAATTGTGCTGTACATGATGAATCAACTAATCGTTTCACCTGCAGCATTAAAAACATCCGTCTGTGTTCAACACTCTCATACTCTTACTTAGAGTATTATGTCAAATATCCAACATTAGAAAATACAGACATAATGAATGCTTTGTTCCAATATCAGCACCCACAATATCTAAAAAAAAAACTAAAACTTCAATTAAAGTCATTCAAATGGAAGTCGCATCAAAATTGTTCCACCAAAAACTGTCCCACTATTATTCACATTTTTTCTAAAAGTTTTTATTGATGAAGTAACTAGTACAGTTAATATTGGTATTACACACACATTTATGCTCATCAAATCTGAAATTGTGTGGGGGATTCCTTGAATCTCACACACACACACACACACACACACACACACACACACACACACACACACAGTCTCATAAGGAGCACAGCTAGAGAAGACGATGACAAATACACAAGACACAATAAATGATTTATTGGCCTTTTCATGAACACATACATTCCAACACACGCATAAAGAGACAGAGACACATTATCTGAGCGTTAGGCAGTGATAATGAGTCAGCTGATGAGATAGAGTAGGCTGCATAATAATAAACACACACACACACAAAGCGACAGCATGGACAGAATTATTAGGTGGCAGTGGTGCATGCTGGACCCTGTGTCTGTAATCACAAGATGGATGAGGGCCCACACAGTCTTTCCTCCGGACTCAGCCCTTGTGGTGACCAGAAAGGGACGGTGCTTTGCTGATTTTCTTGCCTTCTTCCCCATATTGGTGAGATTTAAGATATGACTGCGTCCACTGATTGGACAACATCCCTAAAGCCCAGTGGTCCAAGAACCTTTGAACATTAGTGACACATTATTTTAAGCTGGTTAAAATATTTCTAATGTTATCTCAGTGTTGTCTAATGCAGCAAAATCACAGTCCCTTTGGTTCTTTGTCAGCTGTTGCTGAAAGCAACATGCTAATGAGGTTGCCCATATGCCAACATTTGAACGGCTGCTGATATGTGATAACCACACTTCACTGGTGTGTATGTGGACATTTCTTATGTAATTCTGTCTCATTGCCCACAATGGCTTACTAACCCAGAGAGCTTAAATGGATAGATAACAAGGTGTGATAGTATTCATTTTGTCTTATCTCAAGTCCTGTCTGTGCGAATGAACTTTTTTTCTTTGGACTGGGATAAATTGTCTATCCTAATCATTCATCCTTAGTTCTGATATGATGTAGGTTTTACAGAAGATGGTGACTTAATTTAGAATGAATAGATGTATGAATTATTCTTATGCTTATATTTTCTGCACACAGAATAAGTCTGTATTTAAACTAAACTACTATTGTCACACTTACTGAAGGTGAGAACATAGAAGAGAACAACATTTAAAAAAAAAAAGGAATAAATCATGACACGTTCCGAATGGTTGAGCTATTTTCTAAGTGTCATTTTTTGTATTTTTTTCACCTTTTCCTTTTCCTCCGTCATGTCCCCAACAGATCTCGGAGAACCTGGGTAAGATGTACAGTGAAATGATCTTCGTCCATGGCTTTGTTCACTGTGACCCGCACCCGGGCAACGTGTTGGTCCGAAAGTGTCCCCGGAGCAAGAAGACCGTGATCGCCCTGCTCGATCACGGCCTTTATCAGGTGAGAAATCTCCAGGCTGCCTGCACACGGAGAAAATACCATTTGTCCTCAAATTGCTGTCCATTTTTCATGCTGCTGGCTTAGACCTTCAGTTCATGGCTAGAGCAGCAAAACACACAGTCAACATGCCTCCAAAAGACATAGATGCAACACACACTTCCACAGGCGGACACACACTTTCATTAGAGCTTCTGCAGGATAAAAGCTTTTTGATAAACAACTCATTTGATGTTGTTCTGAGCAAAGTGCAGTATGTTGTGTTTGGATTGGTGCACCACAGCCGTAATCACACAGGCGCATATATGCACTCATGTTCTACACACACACACACACACACACACACACACACACACACACACACACACACTTTGATTGTTAATACACTTGCTCCTACAAACACCTGCAGTTTGACACATCCACATATCTGACATGTGTTTGTTTATTGCTTGTTCCTCTTTTCATGAAGAGACTTTAGTGACAAATATGCTCCTTTATCTCTGGCACACACACACACACACACACACACACACACACTTCCCTCGGACCATAATGGCACCAATTTATTCCTAATGACTTCTGATTTCAGATGTCATTTTTGAGTGGACATACACACACACACATCTACACACACACACACACACTCGCTTTCTCAATCTCTCACACACACACACATCCAGTTGAGCACTACATGTTGCATGTGATTGTGAGGTGCTCTAGTTTGTCTGGAAGTGGCAGAGCTTTCTTAGCTGAGGGATTAAATGTGTCTCAAGGAAGCAATGTAAAAAAGGACCAACTAATTCAATGTTTTACAGCATCAACATACTGTGTACGACTGATAATATGACTTATCACAAAGAATACATGAACTCACTCTGGGTATTGACAGGATGTTATTGATACTACTACTAAGACAGCCTGGAACAACACTAAAGATATGTGGCAGCATACTTCTGTAACGTTAGCATCTAGCCATACGTTTACAGTTTATGCATGAATATTAAGTTGATAATATGTGACAGAGATATATAAATAGCAGTATTTAACATATTTAACAGACTGACCGATCAGAGCAGACTGTCTGAAACACCAAGTTGAGAGGATCAATATAGCTATATGGAGAGAGACAGAATGAGAAGAAATTATGTATTTTTTAACATTAAAGCATGTAAACATGTTTTAGTCGAAACCACAAATACAAGTATGAACCTGAAAATGTGCATAATATATAATTTAAAAGATGATACCCACCCAGTTCCAGCCTGTTCACCCCGCTGCCGTCTGGCAAGAGATACAGAATTACCACGGCTGTAGCACCAGACTCTAGAGCAGCTTCTTTCCTCAGGCTGTGAGACTCCTCCACTCATCCTCTGTGCTCCACTGTAACAAATGGTTTTGTTTTAGTTTTTTCTCTTGTGTAGCATAAAGGGACTACAACTTGCATTTAGTTGTGCGTCCCTGTTTTTTGTAGAATACCAATAAATGAAGCTTGAACCGTGAAACAAATCCACACAACAGTTCTAGACGGCGTCTCTCTGTGTTGGTTTCCTCCAGGTGCTCTGGTTTCCACCCACAGTCCACAGACTGGCAGGTTAGGTTAAATACAAACTCCGGAGCAGTCTTTGGATGAGTGGGTCCTCGTGTTGTTTGTGTTGTGCATGAGGATCGGCACAAGCACGTGTGTTGGTTTCACGCTGTTCCGCTGAACTGATGGTGGCGGTAACGCACCAACAGAGACCGCTAGTGTTGGGAGAATCCATGGATCATTCCTTCTTTGGTTTTTTAGTTTCAAAGTTGAAAGAGGTTTTTTTATCTTTCGTTTTAGAAAATTCAAAAAATTGGAGCAGTGTAGTGAAGCAGAACCCAGCTTGGTTTGAGATAGAGATATTCAGCACAGTGGATGATATTGTGAAAAGTAGGCTAGGGATGTCGCAATTAACCAATTTTGACATAACCGCAGTTATATAATGTCACAGCAAGAATTGACGAAGCTACAATGTCTGTGGTGTCCTGATTGTTGCAGTGTTGCCCTGTGAAAACGTTTCTCGGGAGGAAATTGTTTTGCGTGTGAGAGAGTCGTGCCACTCACCTGAAGCGTTGAGAAGAAGAGCTGTAAAAATGTCAGACGGAACTGGCATTCCAGACTTGTATCTGTCAAAATGGGCAGCATGGGAGCATTTTAGATACAGAAAATGACCCGGGAGTCATTGATTACACATTTTAACCATCATAGTGTGAGAAAAAGTTTTACTGACTATCATCAGCTGACATTCAGTAAAATGATGCAATCTGGAAATCATTATTGATGCTTCACTTATAATCTTATAATGTTACACTATGAACAATAAATCTGTGTTGAACTCAGCAGGAGGCGAGCTAGTAACGTTAGCAGCACCGGAGCTAACGTACGGAGGGTCCATTTAGTCCCACTGTGATACGTTCATGCTCTATTTAGTAAAGATAAAATATAACCTCATCATGATGTGTTCAAATGTAATCTTGTACAATGTAGTTTTGGTGAGAAACCTAAATATAATTAATAAATAATAATAATGAATCCAGTTGTTTGAAGATGTTTTCACAGTTACATAAAATAGATATTAGAGAGGGAATTATGACCAGTTTAACTTCCTAACACTAGCTCTAAGCAGCTTATTATACAAAATACATTCCCTAGTCACTTGAGTTGTGTTTATGCAAATAACCACTATAGATGACTTTCAACAAATAAAAGGAGTTGATTATGATATTTTGAAAAACATGATATATCCTCAAAGAGTAATTGTGAAATCAAAATGTAATATGGTGTCATCCTTAAAGTAGGCTGAGTAACAAGGATTTTAAAATGCATGGGGCTTTAGGATACCAAAGGACGGACGAGTCCGCCCCTCTGAGGGTCAATTCTCATTGATCAGTGATTCCCATCAATTAGGCCTGGATTGTAACACTGAAGTATGGAAAGTGCCGTCTAAGAGCTGTTGCTATTTGGTTCATCCCCCAAGCAGTCATGAAGATTTTTTTCGTACCCTAGGCCTTGCATGAGCCTCTCTTACATACGCACTTGCGACATGTAACAGCCGTGGGACCAAAGATCTGCATAGTTCAAATGCTGTTTTAACACAGCCACGTCTTGCAAGTGCCCTCTATATTGAGCAAACAAGCAGCTGTGTCCACCTTATATTTACCCTACGTCAGTGTGCGAAATACCCTGTGGCAATCGGGGGTCCCGTCTCTACGTTCTTAAGAAAGGCACAGGATCAAATTTGTCCAAAGGGGGTCCATTTAGGTCCGCAAACAGTCGTGAAGACAGGCTTGCTTCTCGCAACCAGGTCTTTATCAGTGAACATATCCCCCCACACAACCACTTGCTGAGTCTTGAATTCGGAGGGTCGCAGGACAGAGCGGCTATGAAAAGCCACTGGGCTTGAAGTGCACCACACACATGTCAAAGATCTCCGAGTTTATATTTATGCTGTAGTAAAGGAAGCTAGAACTGCTTACTTTGCAAACTTAATTTCTTCCTCAAAGAGAAATCCTAAGATTTAGTTTGAAAAAATTATTTCAATTGTTTTACCGTCTGTCTCTACATTACCATGCTTTATTGATACTATTACAGCAGCAACAAGCACAACAGTTATGTTACACAACACTGACCGGGACTCAGCGCACCGTAAAATACACACGAACGCGGTAAATAGTACAGTTAACTTAAAACAAAACAAACAAGGTTACAAACACACTTTGACCTATCTCTGCCCAGACAACAGCCTCTTACTTGAGATCGCTTCGTGGTAATTGGTGTGTTCTTCGGACTTGTAGGCGGAATTTCTCCAAGCCTAGGATCGGTGAGCGTGACTGCACTCTGTTGGCGAATCATGCAGCTAACGAATCCTCCGTATGACAGCGGGCATTTGTACTTTGTACTTAAAGGCAGAATTTCTCCAATCCTTGGTGACCGACCTGCTCTATATTGGTGGGTTAAACGGCAAGCTGGTTCTCGTCTGGCAGTGGAGAGAACAGCGAATGTCAACTCGAAGAATCCGTGAATTCCATGATCTTCCTTCTGCGGGTCAAAGTGTGGCAGCACGGGGCAAGTTATCTATTCCTCCCTTTACACTTAAAAGGTTCAAACCCGCTACACTGAAATACCTCTCAATCATCACTTCTGACGCTCTGCCTGTATTTACTCTTTCTGCATTGAGATGTTATTTTGCGCTGGTTCAAGGGTTCGAGCAGTCAGTGAGGCGATCAAAAATCTGGTCCAGAGGAGAAGGCGGTATGGGTTTAGGATGGGAGCAGGATGGATGCCAGGCTTTCTTTCCAGTAGCGGGACTGCAGGTAACCCCTTTTCAGTGTCACAGTTGACTCTGGTGAAGGGCTCATAGCGATATACCGGTGCTCTTAGCTTTCCCCTTTTTTCCGCAAAGGACCAGTGCCCTGGGGATCGAGGCCACAGAGCAAGACGTCTAGCCGACGGCTCCTGCTGGTTGACGTCTAATCTTAAGAGGCCGAGAGCAGGCACAGGGTGTTCTGCTGGCATCACGATGCCTCTCAGATCTGCAGCTGTTTTTCTGATGCCTAACAGGTTCTGAAAAAGTGCATTAGTAGTAGGCAAATAATGTGGAGAAGGAGAAAGTCGCTGCTGCTGAGCTCCTGGCCATGTTGGCGATGGAGAAAGCTGCGAATGCAAGACTTTGCCTCCCTCAATATTGTCAGCCTCCAGTGCCCCCAACGGGATGAGGGAGAGCCAGGATGAGAAACTGGTGCCTCAAACTAGCACACCTGAAACTATGCTTAATGTGTTTGTGCCTCCTAATCTTTGAATTTGCCAGTGATGACCTTCACCAGAAGGGTGTGTTCAATGCTTTACTGGTTGTGTGCATTCACACAGATACATGTGCAGTTGATAGCTTGGATGTTGAGAGGATTTAATAAAAGAGAGATATAGAATGCAATCGAAAATAAACATATATAAGGTACAAAAATACAGTATTTTGGAATACAAATACAATCTACTGTTTTCAGATTACCATAAATGATCAATCAAGTAGACACAATCCTAACAAAAGACTTCTAATCCCCTCCCTTCCAGGTCCTTCAGCCAGGCTTTAGGTTGGACTATTGTCGGCTGTGGCAGGCTCTGATAAAAGGGGACATGTCCGGGGTGGAACGTTACAGCCTCAGACTGGGAGCTGGAGATCTGTACCCCCTGTTTGCCTGCGTGGTCACCTCTCGCTCCTGGACCTCCGTCAATGCCGGCATCAGTTCTGTTCCTGTCACACGCTCTGAGGTACTGTATGAGCTCACACACACACACTTACATTTACATTGTGGAGTACATAAGTTGGAGTAAAGATACACTTTGAATTGGAGTTACACGTGCAAATCGCAAATGAAGCACAAGCCGTTAAAGGACTGGTTTTGATAGCTGTGCTGATTCAAGCTGCGTACCAGTTTCATCATGACAACTGAAACGCTGAAATGCTTATTAGTGAGTATGAAAATTAAACTATTGATATTAATATAATTATTAATATCATATATTAATTAAGTTGTTAAATTAATAAAAACGGGGCACCACCCTGGGATCAGGGACCAATAACCTGTGTGTGTGTGTGTGTGTGTGGGTGGGGGTGTGTGTGTGTGTGGGTGGGGGTGTGTGTGTGTGGGGGTGTGTGCGTGGGGAAAGGAGAGAGAAAAAGAAAAAGATGGCGGACGTAGTCTCGTGAGTGATTACGCTACGCGATACTTAACAATGGCGGAGGAGAGAGGAAAAGAAGAGGGGGGAACAAGAAGACGGACGTATTCACATAAAGTAATCACGTCATGAAATACTCCACAATGGTGCCGAGGCCGCAATTATTTAACGGGGAAATAAGACGCACAATGGAATAATAAAGTACAGTTTACCAACTTTACTCGTGGGGGTGGATTTAAACACCTTAAACACAATGAGGCACCAGTGTTGTGGTTTGAACCAGATCTCACACACAGGGGACATTTTGACACCTGATTCACAATGTAGGCTTTCAACAGGACATGTAGGCCTCTGTCTCTGTTTTGACCACATGGTGAAGTCCCAACAACATATCTGGTGGACGTTATCATCCATACTGGTCATAAGTACGAACTGAACCTGGTCTGGCATTGTGTATATATGGTATAGCATTTGTATTGCAACTGCTGCACAGCAATTTACCCCAGGATATAGTTTTATTTTATCTTAGCTTTCCTTTTTCAACTTCTACCTGTGCACAGTCTGTGCCATCTCCAGAGAGAAAGGGTTCTCACTATTTTGACTGATCTAACACCAAAGATATTTCACAACAAATAACATTTCACAAAATACATTTCACAAAACGCAACAAAATTTCACAAAACACGTTTCCCAAAAAACTATATTTCACAAAATACAACATTTCACAAAACGCAACACGAAACGATTCTCAAAACACACATTTTCACAAAGGACAACATGTCCCTCTTCAGTCTGCGGGTGTTGGTGGTAGCTCGGCAGGTACTGCCGCCTCTCCTCTCCAGAAGCAAACTGGGAGACTGCTGCATGTTTTAACTGCATGTGTCTGGTAATGGGCATCTTGGCGAGCGGACAAAACATTAAAACAAAGGAACTGTCACATCTTATGATCCGTAGTGAATTTGTTCATACTTATAGTCATTCCGATGTGGGGAAACCGCTCTTACGCCTGTGTGCGTTCACGCCTCTCATCACCGCACACAATTTGTCCGGGGAATCATGCTGCACTCCTTGATTCCTGAAGTCAGCACATCCTATACACTAATGTTCTGATTTTAGGCGCCATGAATGTCATTGTCAGAGTGCTATCCCAGTACTTATGAACTGGGGAAACTCCATCCCAGACCTACAGGCCCTGGGCAATCAGCTGTTTCCCACCGGCCCGGGACTAAGAGACCCACCTTTACCAAGCTCTCCACCTTTCTACTTTGTACTGCAACTGTTTCGAATCAATTTCCATAAGGATAAATAGTTTTATTTTATCATCCCATCAACCTGTGAGAGGCAGTTATTTGCCACAAGCATCCATTCTGCAGGAAATCCAATAGAAGAAGTACTTTCTTTGTTGCAGACTGACGGTGCATCCAATCAGCGACAAGGAATCCTTGTCCAATGCACCAAATGCCATTGTGTATTCTCTGTTGTTGTTGTTGTTGTTGTTGTTGTGTGCTGTTGTCAACACTGGAATCTAATTCACGAATAGTATAATGCTGCTAAAACAGTAAATAGACGTGCTGAAAAGACAATGAATAGATTGGGATTTCAACTGTCGTCGTTCTGAATGAACTAGGTACCAGGTGCAGCCCTAGGTATTAGGTTGTTAGAATACACTGGTTTGTGTGTCCCATTACCCACAGGGGTTCCATGTTGTCATCTGTGCTCCAGAGAGAATTTATTTATACCTTATGCAACATCTTAGAGTTGGCAAAGTACTACACTACAGTCTGCTGCAGCGTGCCACCCCCTCACACATGACGGGCAGTAACAGGCAGACCATTACATGAATAGCTCCCCGTGTCTTCTCTTGTATTTATAAAAATTAAATTAATCACAAAGTAGAGCTGACGGAAATAAAAATGTATTGATGATATTCTTTTGTTAAGTGTCTCTGAACATGTTGCGCAATTCAACATTAGCCCAGTAAACCTTGTAGACAGTACAGAGTATCACACCTTCTGCCTGAACACATAACAAACTGATGATGTAGCGACTCTGAGAGCATTAAGGCTTAAGTGAAGAGAGATGGAGTCATTTCAATTCTAATCAATAGGGTTCATCCTCTGGAGAGCAGGAATGTGATCAGGCACATTGCATTGCCAGCTGCCAACTACATTGCAATTTTTTTAAAACATTTTGTATGACAAATTACATTTTAACTTCTTTTTTTTAATGGTCATGTTTGAGGGTTAACAAAGTGACAATAATAAAACTCAACATCAGCATCAGTGTACGCTAAAGAATAACACTATCCATGAGTTTTTTCACTTTAATTTTGAAATCAGCAAACTATGCAAGCTCAACTTCAAAATGACATTTGAAACTGGACTTTTCATAAAGGCAGGATTCTCCCAGCCGGTCACATACGATCTTAAAAACCACTGGGTGGGATTTAACAAAAGTATACAGATTTCGTAAATAACCTTCATCTATATATGGTCGAAAAGACAAGAGAAAAGAGTGTTCAGCTCCCAAACTTCCTCGTCACTTAGCTCCATCCACACAGTGAATCCATATGGTTTTTTGTGTGTGTGTGTGCGTGTGTGTGTGGTGAGATAGAGAAAGGGAGCAATTTAGTGTGTTTGAGAGATGAAAACGGTGACGTTGTGAGTTTCCTCGCACCTCAGGGATTTTTCTTTATTCCATCGTTTCCTGTCTGCTTTTCAACTTTCTTCTTTTCATCACTTGATGATGTTCTTACCACATTATGAAGATACAGGACCATCTGTCAACTTTGATGAAATGGGCGTGACAAGTATTTTCTTTTGGTGTTGACAGAAACGCAACACTGAGGAGCTTTCTTGTGATTGGTTGTGATTATTAACAGTTGTTGTGCAGCTTGTATTCTTTTGTGACTCTTGTATCTGTAATAAATTGTGGTCATAATTTAGAAAAAAAGCGAATCAGAAGGATAACAACTCACTGGCGAGACAAAGTGATCAGCGTTAATGTTCAAGTGACAGCGTCCTCTGGTAGAGGAAAGGGGGGGGGGATGCCATAACCAAGCGCTGATTGTTTTAAACATAACCATGAAGATTGCCTAACCTTAAGATAATATGAATAATAATAAATTATGGAAGAGACTACGCCTGCGTGCATTTTTATGCATTCATCACCATAATAGTTGTATTCCAATGTGTGTAACTAAAACATGCTTTTCTCCCTCTGTCGGTCTCCCACTTTAGCTGAGATGAAAGCCCTCCCATCAATCTAGACCACACACACACACACACACACACACACACACACAGCATTAGGCAGACTCCACTCTAGTGCCCTCTACTTGAACACACTTGTTGATTGTGTAGTACTCTGGAGCTAAGAAGACATGTTGAGACATCTCTGTGGCCACAAGCACTCATCTGCTTTGCTTTGTCTTTGTTATCTCTTGTGACAGCTCCTCTCGTCTGTTCTTTGTTGTCCTCGCTCTCCTCTTTTCACTCTCTTATGCATGGACCATTTTGAAGTCCCGATGATGCATTCCATTAGCGTTAATGCAATCCCATGCACTAAGCAAATGTTGAGTGCTTTTAGAACTGTGGCTTTTTGCGCACACGGGGGATATTTATCTTTTTTAATGAATGTTTCTCGACTAAACATTGAAAACAAAGTCATTAGTCAGAAATGTAACAAGTCGAGCAATATTTTGTCATATATTTCTCTCCATGCTCCTTTGTTGTGAATCCAGGCTAAGCATGTCCTCCATGTTTACCTGTTGTCTTGATATATCAGTATACAGTAACATGTACACGTCCTGCACAGGCATTTTAGAATTAAAAGCAATATTCCAGCAGTTTAGAGGGTAACATTCCGGTCCTCTAGGAGGGCGTTTAATGGGACACATCTGCAGGAAGTGTTGAGTTTCATTGACGGTAGCGAATCATTGATAAGAAACGAGCCAAATTGAAGTGATAAGAATTGATTAGTAACTGTTAAAACTCCAAGAAGCAGAGTTTCTGTAATTACCAACTTCCAATTTGTAAACACTGTTTCTGTCATAATCAGATTGTAAAGCCCTCTGAGGCAGATTTGTGATTTTGGGCTGTACAAAATAAAATGAATTAAATTGAATAATTACAACTGGGAAACCGATTTCTCTGAAGGCTCCTATATATGTGGCTTGCCGCTAAATAATAATGACGGGCCTGAAAATAAAAACAAACATGGAAACTTCATTTCAGCCAAAGTCTGTCATTTAAGGTAATTAAATACAGATTTATAGTGCTACTTTTACCACATGCACTGTTTTGTAACCCTCACATAACCTGCTGCCTTAAGAGGTCCAATGGTACAAACACTTGATGGTCATGAACATGGGAATTTCTCCCATCGCTACCATCCATCCCAGACTTTACCGTGTGAGCCATGATAGTATAACAGATCCGGTCTGTGCTCCAACAGATCTCAGTGTAGATATCCCACTCTGGCAGCCTGGCGTCAGGACGAGGCCCCAATGACGTCTGAAATCAGACTGCATGTGGTTTTTCTGTTGTCTGCAAGGCGTCTCACTCGTGTTTGTATCCCCGCCGAGCTTCAGG